GTTCTCTGTCTCATAAGAAAGTTCTCTGGCTCATAAGAACATTCTCTTGCTCATAAGAACGTTCTCTGACTCATAAGAACGTTCTTTGGCTCATAAGAACATTCTCTGACTCATAAGAATGTTCTCTGGCTCAGAAAAATGTTCTCTGGCTCACAGGCCCTGTTCACACCATGCACTTCACATCTGTATTCTGGTGATCTGATAACGTGCATGTTGGGTGTTTAAAGGTGTATTTCAAAACATTTATGAGATCTATTCACAGTTACCCATGCTGTATGCTGACACACACACACACACACACACACACACACACACACACACACACACACACACACACTCACTCACTTAATTACCACATACTGTATAAAATAAACAGAGGAGCATGCACTAATTAGCGACTTAAAAGAGTTCAGTGTGGCACTGATGCTTTACTTTGAGCATATTGTCTGCAGCATGTTTAAAAGATGATAATGCAACTTTATTCAGACTTGTTCTGGGTTTGATGCACCACATTATAGCTCACGGTCACCACAGCGGGTCCAATAAGTGCTAAAACAATCGTAACAAGCATTAATCTAAAGAGAAACTCACCTCATTGCTTCCCACTATTCCACTCTAGTTATTAAAACTGACATTTTTAATCAAAAGGGTTTTGATAGAGTCTATTAAAACGTATAGCCTTTTTGTTTGTACCCAGAGACATTCAGGTGGTAACTGCTGCTTGGGTGGAGTCACATCCATTCAGCAAGAGATCCAGCAGTGACACTTAGAACAGGTTGTGTTCACACTTCCTAACCTAAGCAGATAAAATGATTTATAAAGCTGTATTCAGGCCTAGCTGAATTCTACTTCCTGTTGCTGTGCATGCAAATATCGCAACAATTCTTCATGTCAGCGGTTTGAGTAGCTGGATCTTGCAATACGTCACTTTTATCGTTCCAAAACTGCAGATCCAGGTGTTGTTCAACCTTAAAGTGCCGGTGACATAAAAATCTTGCAAGACATACGAGAGCATTATTGGAAAATAACATTGCAAAGCAAATTTCACACCTCTGAGATGAAGAGTTGTTGCGATATTTGCATGCACAGTAACAGGAAGTGATGTCAAATGCTTGCACGTGAACAGAGTGTTGCTACAACACAGACAGTAGAGAAGAATCTGATGTTTCTTTGGATCATTTTGAGTCATTACCAGAGAGAGATGAGGAAGAGTAAAGTCCAGGAATTTCTTTTATTATATCACTTTCTTTTTCACTTCGGCCACATCGTTAAAATTATATGTCAATGAAGTGACAAGGTGGGTAAAATCATGTATATTTTTAAATATTAAGCTGCTTTCTTCCTCTCTGTATGTTTATAGAACAAACTGCACCCCTTAGACACATTAGAGATATATGTCAATGTTTAAAAAAGTAGACAATGTAAATTCTCTAATATGACGTGCTAATTATTTTGATGAACTGAGATAGGAAAGTACAGAACTGGTTTCTTTGTTCTGCAGGTGTGCTCAGACGAGTGTCTCTGTGACCTCTGACCTGTCCACACGCTCCTCGGCTTCTCTGAACGAGGAGCAGTTTGAGGACTACGGAGAGGGAGAGGAAGCAGACTGCACGGCCAGCAGCCCCTCACCTGACGATGAGACTCGAACCAACGGCTACTCTGACCTCGGCTCATCTGTGCCGTCAAGGTGAACAATGAGATTAAAGCAGAGATTATTGATGTTTTATACTTGAACTCAGCCATGTTTTACTGTGTTTCTCATGATTTTTTAAATTTAATTTAAGTTATTGTAATATACTGTGGAATAGTCCAACTGATTTTGTTTCCCATGTAAAGAAACAGTTCCAATTTTTTAAATCATGATTCTTTGGAAATAATATGAAAAATTAATATCTTATTTGATGTATTGATGTATTGAATTCACTTCACTCCTCGTTGAATCGTCACATTATTGTGGTGGAGGAGTTTGTGCGCCTGAATGATCCTAGGAGCTATGCTGTCGGGGACAATTATAATTGTCCCTGGTAGGGTCTCCAAAGGTAGATTGGTCCTAGGTGACAGGCCGGACAAAGAGCGATTTCGAAGATTTTTATGGACATGATACAGCAAGGAACTCTGTGTCCCTTACCCGGACGTGGGTTACTGGAGCCCCACCCTGGAGCCAGGCCTGGGGGAGGAGCTCGTCGGCGAGCACCTGGTGACCGAGTCTCTACCCATGGGTCCCGGTCGGGCTCAGCCCGAAGGAGCAGCATGGGTTTGCCTTCCTGTGGACCCACCACCTGCAGGAAGGGCCACAAAAGTAGGGTGCATGAATGCCATGGGCAGTGGCCGAAGGCAGGGACCTTGGCGCTCTGATCCTGGCTTACAAAAGCTGCTCTTGGGACATGGAACGTGACCTCTCCGGTGGGGAAGGAGCCTGATCTTAAGCCTGAGGTTGAGAGGTACCGACTAGATATACAAACCGGATTCCAAAGAAGTTGTGACACTAAACAAATTGTGAATAAAAACTGAATGCAATGATGTGGAGGTGCCAACATCTAATATTTTATTCAGAATAGAACACAAATCACAGATCAAAAGTTTAAACTGAGAGAATGTTTCATTTTAAGGGAAAAATCTGTTGTTTCCAAATTTCATGGCGTCAACAAATCCCAAAAAAGTTGTGACAAGTCCATTTTTCCCACTGTGTGGCATCCCCCCTTCTTCTTCCAACACTCAACAGACATCTGGGGACAGAGGAGACCAGTTTCTCCAGTTTAGAAATAGGAATGCTCTCCCATTCATGTCTAATACAGGCCTCTAACTGTTCAATCGTCTTGGGCCTTCTTTGTGGCACCTTCCTCTTTATGATGCACCAAATGTTCTCTATAGGTGAAAGATCTGGACTGCAGGCTGGCCATTTCAGTACCTGGATCCTTCTCCTACGTAGCCATGATGTTGTGATTGCTGCAGAATGTGGTCTGGCATTATCGTGTTGAAAAATGCAGGGTCTTCCCTGGAAGAGATGACGTCTAGATGGGAGCATATGATGTTCTAGAACCTGAACATAGTTCTCTGCATTAATGGTGCCTTTCCAGACATGCAAGCTGCCCATGCCATAAGCGCTCATGCAACCCCATACCATCAGTGATGCAGGCTTCTGAACGGAGCGTTGATAACAACTTGGGCTATCCTTGTCCTCTCTGGTCCGGATGACATGGCGTCCCAGTGCTCCATAAAGAACTTCAAATCGTGACTCATCTGACCACAGAACAGTCTTCCATTTTGCCACACTCCATTTTAAATGACCCCTGGCCCAGTACAAACGTCTGAGCTTGTGGAGCTTGCTTAGAAATGGCTTCCTCTTTGCACTGTAGAGTTTCAGCTGGCAACGGCGGATGGCACGGTGGATTGTGTTCACTGACAATGCTTTCTGGAAGTATTCCTGAGCCCATTCTGTTATTTCCTTCACAGTGGCATTCCTGTTTGAGGTGCAGTGATGTTTAAGGGCCCGGAGATCACGAGCATCCAGTAGAGTTTTACGGCCTTGACCCTTACGCACAGCGATTGTTCCAGATTCTCTGAATCTTTTGATGATGTTATGCACGGTTGATGATGATAACTTAAAAGTCTTTGCTATTTTACGCTGGGTAACACCATTCTGGTTTTGCTGCACTATCTTTCTGCACAACAATGGTGGAATTGGTGATCCTCTTACCATCTTGGCTTCTGAGAGACACTGACACTCTGAGAAGCTCTTTTTATACCCAATCATGTTGTCAATTGACCTAATTAGTGTTAATTGGTCTTCCAGCTGTTCGTTATATGCTCAATTTCTTTTTTCCAGCCACTTATTGCTACTTGTCCCAACTTTTTTGTGATTTGTTGACACTGTGAAATTTTGAATCAACATATTTTTCCTTTAAAATGTTACATTTACTCAGATTAAACTTTTGATCTGTCATCTATGTTATATTATGAATAAAATATTGACATTTGCCATCTCCACATCATTGCATTCAGTTTTAATCACAATTTGTTTAGTGTCCCAACTTTTTTGGAATCAGGTTTGTAGTTGGGCTCACCTCAACGCACAGCATGAACTCTGGAACCAATCTCCTTGAGAGGGGCTGGACTTTATTCGACTCTTCATCCGCACCTCACTTATTGAGGTGGCTGCCTTGAGCTGTGGCCGCAAGGTTGTCGTTGCTTCTCGTGGTGGCCATCCACAAACTTGGTGATGGACACCCCGGTTAGGGAGGCTGTCAAGCTGAAGAAGGAGTCCTATTGGGCCTTGTTGGCTGGTGGGACTCCAGAGGCAGCTGAGGAGTACCAGAGGGCCAAACAGTTAACTCTTTTGGAGTTTTAGGGGCGGAGCTAACCGCATCCGAACAAAGAGTTGCCAGAACAGAACGGGTCCAAAGGAGAGAGTTCCCGGATCATGTTCCTGCAGGATCCGGCTCAAATTAACCTCTGCTAACAGGGAATTAGAGGAAAGAGGTCTGATGTTCAATAGTCCTTTTAATGATTTAATGATTTTGTTCTGGTAAAGTAGTTGTGTTTATTTTAATAAGATTTTTGTGGTTTATATTTTTAGATCTGATTTTTGGTTTATTTAATTTGAGCTGTGGTTGAGTTGGCACTGTTTGAGACGGAGTGTGAGTGTTTTTGTTTGTGTTTTTGCAGCGCGGGTCAGACCCCTCGTAAAGTGCGTCACCACTACGCCGGAGATCTCATGGACGTTTACTGCTCCCAGTGCAGCAAAAAGGTCAACCTGCTCAATGACCTGGAGGCTCGCCTCAAACACCTCAGGGCTAGCAGGTACAACATTTACCTGAAAAACGACTACATGCCTTCAGAAGAAGGTAACAATAAAATATTGTACTAGTTAAGTAAGTACTCTTCTTCACCACAGGCATTATCTTAGAACATGTTCTCAATAACTGCAACATGTTTGACTGGTTTTACTTTGTAATGGAAAAAAAGACGCAATTCAAAAATAAAGCCACAAAATAGAAACACAGAAGTTAAACTGAGTGACTGTGATGAAAAAAAGAAACATATCTCCATGTTTTACATATAATAACAGCACAAATATTGTAAATAATCTGGCACTGAATTTTTTACACTTGAATGGTAAAAGGACTAATGTTGTGTTTTTGGGCGTCTTCACTGACACCCCCAATGTAGATCTACATCCTTGGCTCAATGATTACAAACCTGGGGGCCAAAACAGATTCTGATCTTGATTTTGATCATCAGATCACCATTGAGACAATAATCTACTCCTCCATCATCACGTGATTGGATTACTGCTTTGCACTTTATGTAGGGGTCAGTTGGGATCCGGGGACTTCTGGTTTGGGACGCCAACAGGATGACCGCTTAAGATAACAGCTCCCGATCAACACTCGATAAAAAAACTCACAATAGAATTAAATGTAAGAGAAAATCATAACAAGAGTGTAATGAAAGGTGAGAGAAGAACAAGAAGACAAAGTAACATTCAAGAATTCACGAAAAAAAATCCAAACAGACTCTGAGCCGAGTTGAGATGTCTGTGGCCGAGGGCAGCGAGCACGACCATCAGAAGAAACGGCAGGTGTCACAGGCCTGTGCCTCTGGGACATTCTCCAGGAACTTCAGTCTTTTAAGATTGAATTCAAAAGTAACTTCGCTGCATTTAAATGTGACATAAAGAAGGAAATGAAGGAAGAAATAGGAGGCCTTAAAGAAAGTATCAACTTAAAGATCTCGGAAATAAAGGGCGAGGTATCGAACCACGCAGCAAAACTCGAAGAATCGGAGCAGAGAATCGCTGAAATGGTCTAAACGTCAGCAACCGGATCTCCGTTGCAACAGCTCCCAGATCCGACAGCTGCAGCTCGGCTCCCTCGGTTCCAGCGGCCCGCAGGTCCAAACGGCGGCAGACCGGGTCCCGGTTGTAACAGCTCCCAAACAAATCACACACAATAACCAAATCTTAATAACTGCCATGTCCGCTGTAACACTGAGTCAGACCTTTTGAAGTTTTTATAGTAAACCATGAAAAACTGTTTTCTTTTCTTTTGCAGCCCCAGCAGAAAAATGTCCAGCACAGCTTTTGGAAGGTAGGCAGATCACATGTGTGTGTAGTGGTGGTGGGGAGGGGGCATGTGCATGCGCGTGCGCACACCAAAGGTCACTCTCTCGTGTGTCTTTGACTTTTACAATCTGAACTGTGTTTGTGTTGAGCATATTGACAGAGGCATGAACACCCAGAGGTAGGCTGGCCCTCACTGTCACCATACCTCTCAGAGGGAGGCTGGCCCTCACTACCTCCTTACTGTATCTCTCAGAAGGAGACTGGACCTCACTACCTCCTTACTG